AACACAGTTTCGAGTAAAACGTGTTTAAAGACGGCGCACTTAGGCTAGCTAGAATTAAGCGCACAAGTTCACAAGGCTGTATCTCCGAAACTATTACTCGAAATAACTTGAAAATTTAGGACAATTATCTAGAGGTGTTGTCAAATTTTATAAGACAATAAAAAAATAAATTTTTTAAAACCCGTACACCCATGTAACCCCTTAAGAGCAACACTTTCGCGCTGTGAGCCTGAAAGTGCGCTTACTTGTGAACTATTAAAACTTTAGCAAACTCAAGAACAAAAAAAAATTATAATATAAAAATAAAAATTTGCGCTGTTGACTCTAAAAAAAAAACTCACAAGATAATAATAGCGAACACGTAGCCACATTGCACGAATGCCACCCACTAGGCCTGCTGCGACTTTAATCTAAAATGTAAATTAAAACGATGCCATCACGGCCACCGCTGTTACAGTTATGAGATCCGCAACTACATTTGTTGACAGCAGAAAAAAACTCGCCTGCAGATTAACACGGATCTGTTGCAGGACCAACAGCCACCAGTGTTGCCACCGTAAGCGCGTAGCAACTAACGTACGCTGCGCTTACAGTTCACCGCCGCAATGAAGTTGTAGAGAGCGACATTGACTGCCGCTGTAAGTGCGCGCTATTGTACCGTAATTGCAACATACCACAACAAAACTAGTAACTATCGCAGAAAACCAAAAAATAACAGCAACAACTCGCTTTGGCTTACATATACATATATGTACATAGATAGCATATCCACCGCTATTAAGTGCATGTTTGTGTTTGCGTGCAATTAAAGCAAGTGCAATTAGCCACATAACAATAATTGCCTTTGAAGCAGGACATGCTGTAGGCGAAATTGTTGCAGCAACCAAACAAACAAAAAAAAAAAAACAATGACGCTTAACAACAATAATAACAACAACAATCACGCAAGCATACTAGGAGCATACATACATATGTATGTAGTCGACGCTTTAAAGTTGCAAGCTTGCAAATGTTGCTGCCTTGCATTCAAAGTGCTTAAATTATTTAAAAATCAGCTTTAGCCACAGAAACCATTTTAATGCTTCGTTAAATCACCAACACAGAAGCCTTGCTCATAAGAACCTATGCACTTGTGTGTGCGTGTGCGGCTGTGTGCACGTTTGCTATAAATTGGGGCAGCAGCGAGGTTGCAAATATGCACTCAGCACCGCCGGAGCGTTAGTTTAGCAAAACACGCACATCAACCCACACACGCTCACGACTACTTGCACATATTTACCACAAAATTGTCAAATTAGTTAGTGTTCGTTTTTTTGTGCGTGCAGCCAGGGCTTGGATTATTTATGTTTGTAGAAATTAGAGTCATGTGATGCATGAATAGCGGCAAATTAAAGCTAAAACGATTAAGTGCAAGTTACTTTAGAAAACACGACATTTAGCATAAATGCAAAACGTTTAAGGCATTATTAAATTCGCTGCAGTTTTTTGAGGTAATCTTTGGCGACTTTGGCCCGGAGTTGGTCCGAAGAATTGCTGAACTGCGTCAAAAGCTTGCTTTCATAGCATCATTTGTAGAGCATAATGCATAATTAATGAGTTAGAACCAACTTTAAAAAGTAAATTGTATAAATTTCACAACTGTCAGAAAATTAATTCCCAAGTTATGGCATTTTGAGTGATACAAGTTTGATGTCTTCTTCTTTATTGACGTAGACACCGATTACGCCGTTATAGTTTGCAACAGCTTGCCAGTCTTCCGTCTTCCTTTTCGCTGTTTGGCGTCAATTGGAGATTCCAAGTATAGCCATATCCCTCTTAACCTGGTCTTTCCAATGGGGTGGAGGACTTCCGCTGCTTCCTCCGGCGTGTACAGCGTCGAACATTCTCAGAGCTGGAGTGTTTTCATGCATTTGTACGACGTAACCTAGCCAGCGTAGCCGCTGTCTCTTGATGTGCAGCACTATCGCACTGTCAACGTATACCTCGTACAGCTCATCATCATATAGTTGCATCGACTGTGGTATTCGCCGTTGCCAATGCAGAAAGGCCCATAAATCTTATGCAGAACCTTTCTCTCGAAATCTTCTAATGCCGACTCATCAGATGTTGGCATCGTCCATGGATGATGAGTGACTTGCGAAATTTGGTATATGTTCGTCGAGCGAGGAATTTACCTCGCAGTCCGAAATATCACCTGTTAGCAAGAGTTAATCTGCGTTGGATGTTGAGTCTGACGTTATTGTTGGTGTTAATGCTGGTTCCAATATAGACGAAATTATCTATAGGAAGTCGCTTTGTCAGAAACTTTGCTGGTATCGAATGAGTCGGAGTGCTTCCCGATCCCGACGGAGCTTTTGGTATTGCTCTACGTCAGTTTACACAGCCATATTACTTTTAAGGGGAATCAAGACATAACGGCATAAAATCAGCTTTTCTTTCTGTCAAAAGCAACTTTAGATCGACGAACAGGTGGTGGTTGATTTTCCAGGCCTAAAACCACGCTGATAAAGTCCAATCAGTTCGTTGACGGTGAGCTTTAATCTTTCACAAAGTATGCTCGATAGAATCTTATATGCTATGTTGAAGAGGCTTATCTCATGGTAAATAGCGCAGATTGTGGTTTCTCCCCTTTTTTAGATTTGGCAGATCATACTTTAACTTGAATAATCTGGCATGCTTTCGTCCGACCATATTCAAAAAAGAAGCTTGTTCTCAGTTCTTCACCATTATATTTGAATAGCTTGGCCGTCAATTTATCGTCCCCGCCGCTGTGTTGTTCTTCAGACGAGTAATTGCTATTCGAATTTCTTCTTGGTCGGGCAATAGAATGTCTACTCCAGCGTCATCGATTCCCGGGTTCTTCATCTCCTCATGTTATGCACTGCCATTCAGCAAGCTGGAGAAATGTTTCCTTCATAATTTCAGTATGCTCTAGGCATCGGATACCACATCACCTCTGGGTGTTCTACATACGTGTTAATGAAACACTGTGCTTCTATAAACGATGTTTTTCGAGCTGTAAACGAAGCGAAGCAACCAATTGTAGGCAGTTTACTTAATTCCGTACAAAGCCACAAATTCACGTTCTACATCCATCTTGTGCTTAAGCCTCAAGATATTGCTCGGAGCGCCTAATTTTAATCGAAAAGTTCGATGTTAAGTTTCTGTAGGTTAGACTGTCCGGGCATATACCTACTGGTCTTTAAGTTTATTTGAGCTGAAGAATTCGTCACATCACGTTTTCGATTTCGCCGTTATGCAGGATAAAAACATAAGTGGTGTTGCAGTATCTCTTTCCTGCCCACTTCCTTACACTTTGTGCATGCACCGTCGTTACTTAGGCTCATCCAGCTCGTGTGATTCCAGTAACTTGTAAACGGTCATTACACTGTCATCCATCCTGCAGTCCCTTAGACAACGTAAAAAGTCTGCGTGTATTTCTTAAACTCTTGCACATGATCTTGGCGATTCTAAATGTCCTAAAGGCATTCCACCGCGCTCTAATCCGTCTATCAGCGCTCTCGGAAGTTTCACTGTATATCGTTTATAGATACCGTAATGTCTGTAATAATTTCGTAATCGAAAAATATCACGTTTGGCAATCGAGTCAGCTGTTTCGTATAAATCTATAACGAAGTATATATTGATCTTCTGTATCATGTGTTCTGCTTCCGCCTGGAAGAAGCTTAAAAGGCTGTCTGACCTCCAGCTCCGAACAATAGAATCCGGCCACATAAGGCTCAAGGTAGTAAGCCAACTGTGAGTAAAAAAATACCACCTAGTCGATAAAAATTGGTGTGATTGGAGCCTGTGTATCTAAAATCATTCTTCATTCAATAATCTGTGAAGAAATTTCTTCCGGGGTATACCAATTTTTTAAATATTAACAATTCAATAATATAATTTTCAAATGATTTAATTTAATGCGAAAACCTTGGAAACATCCTTCAATTGAGGGCTGCTAGCTAAAAGTTCTGATTAATTTGTAGAAAAGTAGAAGTTGAACGAAAGCTTCATTTGTGACAGCTCTTAGTCAAATTACACTGCGGAAAGAAGGTAGATGAAAGTTTCATTTGTGAAACCTCTCCGTCTAACTTGACTGACTTCAAGCTGTGAGGAGCTTTGATCCTAAGTAGACGTGTAGAAGGTGGACGAAAGCTTCATTTGTAAAAGCTCTAAGTCTAATTTGACTGAGTGTCAAGCTGTCGTGGTAGTTTTGATCCCAAGTAGACAAGTAGAAGTTAGAAAAAAGCTTCATTTGTAAAAGCTCTCAATCTAACTGGACTGATTGTATTGACTGAGAGCTTTCACAAATAAAGCTGTCGTCCACCTTATAGCTAGTTGGGATAAACTTATACTTGAAAAGTGTAATTTCGAGTACAAATACTCAGCAGCGATTAATAAATATTGCACAACAACAAGCATTAATTCAATGCCAATCAACTGAGCAGTGCGTCAAGCCAGCGGCCAGTGTGTCAGTTTAAGCCTGTATGAACAGTCCAGTCAATAATACCATTAAATATTAAGTAAGCAAGGGAAAATTATATTTGCAAACCACTTAAGTGCGAGCGTAAAAAGTCATTCGAAGGATTACACCGTTAAGCCGCGCAACGAGAGCGCCACCGCAAAACCCACCAGCGCTCAAGCGGTGCAAGTAAACGAAAGTGTGGCAATGCGAAGGCCAAATAGAGTGGCGGCCAGCGTCAAGAGTTGAAAAATAAAAAATTATGATTATTATATGAAACAACAAAACAGAGACGTCAATCTATATGGCAAGGAGACTTAACGGACAGCCGTTGGATAGGCAAGGAGGTCAACAGCGCCTGATGCGTGCTGTCAATATGACACAAGGGACCGATTGGTGGTCAACTAGTGGGTATTGCACATTGTCGATCTATCCACTTTCGTAAATATGTATATTTATTTATAGCAATTGAAGAAATAACACAAATTTGTTTAATATTTTTATTAATTTTTTCGAAAAATTCATTTATTTACAGGTGCCGGGCCCCAATAGCGTCACTCGACTGCATGGAGGAGTTCAGTGGTACGGGAGGTCATCTTGATTTCGGTATCAAATTTCTCACTACCAATTTCTGCCGCTTGTACTCGTGTTCTAATGATTAGTGTTCTCATTTCTTTCTCATGTTTTCGTGTGTATACTCGTGTTCGTTCAAGTATTTCAAAAGCTCAAAAATAATATTTCATTATTTATCTGACTTTTTTGTAGACAACAAAAACGTTATTAGAGCAAATTTTGCTTTTAATTTTTTGTGTGTTTTTGAAATTTTTTACGTTTGTGTCTACATAATAACAGTTACTTTAGTTAATTCATCCATTAATCACATTAAGCCATTCGTGCATCTATTAATCAGTATTGTTGTTGTTCAAATAGATAGTACATAGCGCCAAAGTAGGTAAAGTTGTCGAGTAATAATGTAATTAATATGAAATATATGACTTGTAAATTGAGGTTATAATTTTTATTTCACCATCATCCGGCTCACAACACGCACATGGCAATGTCACTATGGCCACTTAAATTTACTATCGCGTCTGAGCGCCATTTTTTGTAATCAACTAATTATAATTTTGCTTACACACATGAACTATTGTCAACATAAGTCCAACACCAAGTCCAATATTTCGTGCACACGATTCTTCTACACCATATGTTTCTTATTTCGTATATTTGTGTTTTTTTTTCAACTCTAAATTAATATTTGCACGCCACTGTACACGCTGTTCGTTGCTATTGGTCGTTAAATCATACGTTTGCACGTCAGTATCGCTTAGTTGCATCAAAATTAGCTGTTCATGGCTTTAGCTGCGCAAATTTATTGACTAATGTTCCTTTCTCTTTGTGTCCGCTCTGCACGCGCTGTGAAGGCCGTTCGATAAGTTTGGGTTCGAATCCGGCACTACCGTTACGCCATGGCTCCACACCGACGCCCGGTTTGCGCTACAAGAATCTTGGCAAGAGCGGCTTGCGCGTCTCCAATGTCGGCTTGGGCACGTGGCCCGTTTTTTCGCCCGGCGTTAGTGACGAACAAGCCGAAGCCATATTGCGTTTGGCCATCGAGAGTGGCATTAATTTGTTCGATATCTCTGAGGCGCATTCGGAGACGGAGATCGGAAAGATTTTGCAGCGCACCGGCTGGAAGCGTACAGCATATGTGATTACGACAAAGGTCTACTGGAGCACCAAGTGAGTATTAAAGCAGTTATTCAGTACATATAGAGTATAAGGGGAACAGATGTATGATGGATGGTGAAAAAAAAAAGTTACAGCCGTTCAAATATGAGTGAAAATAATGAAGAAATTCGCTATATTTTGAAATTTTTGTATAAAAAAGCCACCAATAAAATTTGTGGAGTTCTACGGAGACGACGCTGTAATAGTTCGGGTAGCACAACAATGGTTCGCTCGTTTCCTTTCTCATATGTAGTTGGATTTCGAAAACTTTTAAACTTTTAGTCATAAGGTATCGACAAATTCTGGATTCCAAACAAAACCTTGTTCTTGATTAGTCAGTTTGTATGGCAGTTGTTGCTAAAATGGTAGGAATTGAAAAAATTCTTCGGTGCGTTAAGTATAATAAATAAATTTCTTATACAAGAACCTGCTGCTGATCGGTCGGTTATATGGCATTTATACATTAAGCCGTTGGTTTGGTAATAATCTGTGCCGAATTTCGTGAAAAGACCACGTCAAATAAAAGTTTCCTATATATGAACTTGATTCAGATCATTCAGCTTGTATGGCATTTATATTTTAGTACGTTTGCCAAATTTCCGCTCGAAATCTCAAAAACTGAAGTACTACTTCGCGTATATATAGACAGACGGACTCAGCTCGTCATGCTCATCATTTACATATACATATAATATATTTTATAGCTTCCTTCTGAATTTTACAAACGCCGTGGCTAACTTGATATTATTCTATATACAATTAGTATAACTATTCACGAAAATATACAATATACATACATATATCTCTAGTTGAGCGATATCTGTACAAATTGTGGTATTAAGATTTATTTTTAACTTTTTAGTTTCAATAGTCTTAGAAGCGTGTTTTTTGATTTAATTAAGCATACTTATTTTGCCTTCAAGTGGTTATATCCACCTTTAAGGCATAAATCCTTTTCCTAAATTTATAAAATCAGTAAAAAAAATGGCTTTTATGACAGTTTCCAAATCATTTGTAAAAAACAAAACATTTTTTTTAATTTATTTCAAGTAAAATTTTCAATTTAATTATAATTTTTTTCAGCAAATTTTGAAACTTTTTTTCTCAAAAGAATATCAAAAAAAAAAT